TGCTGTGAATTCTGGCCTGTACATCACACCCAAACAAGTCCAAGTGTTCCAAGAAGCAGTGGACAAGGCTGCACTTGTCATTATTATACTTTCAAAAGCTTTTACTCAGTCTAAGCTTTGCCTTCAACAGGTAGAGAGAAATTAAAAATTACATTTTGAAGTGAATGTTTTAGTATAGACTTGCTCATCCTAATCTGTTTATTGCATAATTCTTGGGGTGAACTAGAGCTTAATAGGAACTTGTCCAAATGGTCATTTAAGTCTTGACTGTTGTGAAAGAAATGAACAATACCTTTAGCATTGTTTTTTTGTTTTCTCTATAAGATCATCATCAATGGCATTAAGCTTGGTTAATATACAAAGATGGATGGACAACTATAATGAAAATAAGTTTTTTGTTTTGATCCTTGTTTTACAAATAAATTCATCTCCCCCCCCCCCCCCCCCCCCCCATGTCGGAACCTTGCTCCCCCCTCTATAGAGGACAAGGGGGAAAGGGGTTGCTGCATTAAACTTCACACTCATTCATTTTTTTCAGAGTAAACAATATCATTGTATGTTCTCTTTTAAATTAAATATTTATTGGGGAAACAGCTAAAATCTATTTATACAATGTTTTAATTTACATTATGCTCACACTGGGTTAAAATCATTCCTTTCCTATTACACATTTTTGCCTCCCCTTGAGAAAGGATCCTCACTTTTATTGATGAGACACTGATATTTTTAAAAAAAAGCCTTACACATTCATCACAGCAATTATTTTGTTTCATTTTTTTCTTATGCCAACACTATTTGTAGCTGTATGAAAGCTTTTGAATGTTTTACTGACCTACACTCTAACACATATTATTCTGTGGCTGATGGCTGCCTAGTTGTGTGGTATGCACTCTGGACTGTCATCTTGATTGTCCTGGGTTCGAACACTTGCCTTCCTCCATTGTCCTGCATGGCCTAGGATGAAATATTCTGCAGGAACATCTTAGTGACACATTGTATATACTGCTCTTCCCAGGTATTCTACTGTGAACATAGAAAACTCCTATTGCCTGTTTTATATGATGAGTTTCGTTTCCCAAGTTGGTTGAAAATGCTGATCAGAACAAAGAGACTTATAGTGAGTAACTTTGGTCACTTTTCTCACTTGCTTTTCTGCAGTAGTAAACATTTTACAAATTGATAAATGATATAAGATTATAAACAAAAAATATTGCCATGTTTAGATTTGGTAGTAACTTTATAATGTTATGTTATTACCTCAAGATTTTTGTTTAATACCTAGTACATAAGTCATAAATTAAATGTTTAACTCCTACTTGCAGGACGCTAATAAAGAAGGTTTTCGTCAAGCACTTCTCATGCAGGTTGAAAGAGGGTTGGATCCGACTGCTAAAAACTGCCTTGAAACAGACAGTCAAGAAGCTAACATTGCTCTAGCTGTAAGTCTGTGACGACATGTTCAATTTGTAAAACTTCAGCAAGAAAAAAATGTTACATTTTTTCTTCTGTTTGAATAAAATAATACAATCAGACACATTTTACACCATAGCTCTTTCTCTTCTCAGGTACACTATGTGAAAAAATCACTTCAAGTTAAAGAATGTGTCTATGTTACTGGCACCTCCAAAATTCTGAGCACAAGATCAGAAGATGTTTGCAAGTAAGACCACATGTTAAATAGGTTTTAAAATAATTTTGTTTTATTATATGTTCTTTTTTTTTTTTCATCTTTTGTACACAAATGTAGTTGCTAACTTTTTGGTCATCATTTTTCAGGTCTATTGGGCGACACTTGGCCAAACTTAACAATCTTTTTGTAGTCACTGGTGGGTGCTATGGTACAAGTGAGCTGGTGGCTAAAGTTTTTAATGAAGATAAAGAACATCAAGGATCAGATTCCAATGTGTGGCACATACTGCCCGAAATGGAAGCACAGGTAATGACAAAATTTGTTTTGTAGTTTGTTTGTTTTTTGGTTAAGTTTCACATTTCTTATTTTGACAAGCACTAATAAATAATATATTCATCAGAATGTTAAAGAACATTACAATCAAGGGGCTGATGGTACCTTTGCCCTAAAAGACTTTGGAAAAACTTTATTTTGTGGCAACAGTCTATGGGAAAGAGAGGCTATTGCAGGAAGATGCTTCCAGATTTGTTTACTTATTGAAGGTAAATTAATTTTTCAAGTTCATTTCTACCAACTTTAAGATGTTTATGTTAAAAGTGACGTCTCCTTTATTCTAACTTTACCCTGACATTGTGTATGTGTAGGTGGTACTCATTCAGCCCATGAAGTAGAAGAGTTTGTTTGGAGTGACCACATAGTTGTTCCTGTCTGCTGCTCTAATGGAGCTACCGTTGGTGATGTCAAAATTTCAGACAAGATGTATCAGGTAGCTGTTCACAAACTTGACCTTTAATATTTTGTTTAACTTAAATTTCATTTCATCAAACATTTGGCTCTCACCATTTTTTTTTTTTGTACACAGATGCCTCCTGGGGTTAATGAGCGAGACTGGAAATGTCTCAATGACCCGCAGACCTCTGCTGAAGAGATTGGCTTGGCAGTGTCCAGGGTGATCACAGGTCTGCTTCAGCATTGCCAAAACCAAGTGGACAGCCCAAGGAAGAGTCGTCTCCATCAGACAGGATCCATTCCAGAGGACCCAGAAAGTGAAGAAGCAGAAACCAGTGCCTCCGCCAGTGAGTCAGTAAGCCTGTCACCCACAAAAAAGAATGCGGCATGGATTGCTAAACTCCGCAGCCTGCAAACTTTTATTCACCCTCACTAAGTTGTTTTACATTGTTTTAATTTAACAATCAAGTTAACCGTGACAACCTGCAGAACATTGTTAAGTCTCATTATTTATAGTGAAATTATTTGAATTGAGCATATAAACTAAACTAATGTTATGAGATGATAATTGTCTTATTCTTACTTAAATATATTTAGGTTCAAGCATAACTTTTAATAACTATGAATGGAGGAGGTTTGTTAAAAGGTTTCTTAGAAGGTTAAAAAAAAAACCTATCTCAGCTTGGCATCTTTTGTCATTGTCAGACAACAGAACATTATTTTGAATACATCAGTAAAGAAACACAATTGATTATGTTTTATTTCTATTGCACAATTAAACAGAGGAATTGAGAGAAGCTCTTCTATATTATAGAGAATTAACACTTGAGTTATTGGGTAACCCTTGAGACATGATTTGAAGTTAATACTATCTGCCATAACCATGAGGGATTATTCAGTAAAATTACTTTAACAATTTGAAGTGACTTGGTAGGAAAGTTTGTAGTAGAGCTTCTTTTACTTGCACTGATATAGCAGCAATATTGTAGTGGTAGGACTATTACAAACTGTAGTGTTGTTTGGAAGATGCCATGCTAATGATGACTCTTCTGAAATGTTATTGTTTTGTTATTTGTTTGTTTTTTTAAGATGAAAGATTTATAAATGGTGTTCTATTTAATATTTTTAATGACAACGAGGGATTCTATTTTTTAACTTTTGTGCTGTGTAAACTTTAAGACTTAGAAACTTCATGTAGAAGCATTCAAAGATACATGACATAAAATATAATTACATTATTCAGAAATTAATTTGATTAGGTTTTCTGATTTATATGAAGGTTGTGTGTTCATGGATCTGACATTAAGGGAAAATTCTTTTTGAATTTAATGGAAAATGATCTGAAACTACAGAAGATTTGCACTATTACTTTACACTATTGCCAGTATTTCAGATTTTATTTTTGATTTCATGTGTGAATCAGGTAATGTTGTTTTATTTTACAACATATGATTGGTTTTGTTTTTTTTGGTTGTTGTTTTTGTTTTTTTTATATTTGAAGTGTACTCTATTTGTTTTAAACATTTCTGTGGTAAATGTGATGAATTAACCTACATTAAAGGTGACTTTTTTTCACTGTAATGGTTACCAAGCATGGAATCATGTGAACTAGGACAGTAATCAAAATGTATAGTCAATGTGATATTGTTATTCATGGACTGAGTGTAAAGATTTGTCATGTTTGACTGTATGCTTAACTGTGTCAGCCATAATCTTATGTTACAGTCTATTCTTTTACCATATGTTATTGAAACTCCAGCTTGTATCTTATGTCAGGGAGCCTCTTGGACATCTGAGATCTCAAGAGTTGCCTTCTGTCTCAGAATTCCTGGACATCTGAGATCTTAAGAGTAGCCTTCTGTCTCAGAATTCCAAGATGTTTTTCTTTTACACACACTAAGAAATAAGATCATTTCAAGTTTTTACTTTGGAATATTGTACTTCTAAATACTTTTATGAAATTTGTTCACTCCTATTTAACCAGTTTATTAATAAAGGCACACTATTATATGTATATAAAAATCACTCTGATTATAAGTCTAGTATTTGTATGTAAATATTGTTCATAGCAAATGTTTCTGTTTTTATTTATTTTTGTATAGAGTACAAAGTTTAATGGGTCATGAAGATCACTCTGACACACCATCACTCAGATACTTTCACTCAGATATACTAACTCTGACATACTCACTCAGACACTCATTTCTCTGCACTCTTGACATGCAGCACGTCTTTGAGTGTTGACTTTATTGAAAGTGTCACTGAGTGAAGCTTTCTTTATACATACATGCTGAAAGATTTACAGATGGTTTAATAATACGACCTTCTTGTTGTTCTAAGTCTATCAGTCTATAGCGCCAGCTCCATCAAGGAAAGTGTAAGTAAGGTTAGTCTTTTATTCATGGGCCATTCTTGCTTTTCTTTTTAACTCGAGCTGTTCATGATTTACCAAAGGTCAGGCTAACATTGAGTATTGTAATGTTGGTCAATGTCCCCACACACCACCTGAGGTGCTAATGTGTTTTCAAATAAGTCTACAGCGCTGACAAAGTGGCAACATTCCCATTAGCACTAGAAGAAGGGGAGATAATGGGGGTTGTGAGCGGAGCATAAAGCATAATAATTTTTTTAACAGGCTTGTATTTTTTTTTTTTTTTTTTTCAAACCACGATTATTTTATTTTTACAATGTGACAATCACAGGAATTCTGTTACAGAGCTTTATTTTGTAGTAATATAATTTCTTAATTTTCATCCCTAAGACTTTTATATCACCTGATTCTGTGCTTCTTTACCCAGCAAGAGTTATCTGTTGATACTATTGTGTCCATTGCAGTATATCATGCTACCACAGACCCTCATGTTGATTGTATGTTCTGCTAAGTATTACATTCTATTATTATCTCTCTGCTAACAGGAGTGAATTCAACACCCAAGTCATTGTTTCTTTTTGAATATTTCCAGACTCACAAATGCCATTCACTAAGTGCCCCAGTTCATATTGAAATCTCTCATAAGGGACAAATAGTTTGTAACCATTTGAAGTGAAGACACATTCCATTGAAACAAATTGGTGAATCAAGCACTGGAAATGTACTTGGATCAGATGTATTGAAATCATGAAATGTGTACTATGTTTTGACAACCAGTTGATTGACTTGTTACTCACAACTCAGTATTTATCTGTTTGTTTTTTTTCCCTTGACAATCTGATTATGTCTTCAGGATGTTTAAATTTCATTTGAAACTTCAGAACAAAGCAACAACTGAACCAGCTACATGGTACAAATTTACTACTCAGACTTTTAACAAATTAGGTGTGATGTATCTGGAGTGTTGTCCATTGGTTATACACTTTGTGAAGTGCAAAATTTAAAAAAAAATGTGGTCTTCCAAGAATTCAGCATTGCTAAGTCTAATTGTGATCCATTGGCATTTTTTTTGCCGACTATGTTTTTCTTCACAATAGAAGTAGGCAACTTGTATTATAGAAATATACTTATTAGTGAATCGAATAAAGATTTTATTTCTGCTGCAAATAAACAAAGGCATTGCCTTGACATTGTGACCATATGAAGAAAGATAATGATTTTATTTGTTTATGTATGTTGTTGGTCAAGTCTGGTAGACAAATGTTTTTAACTTTATAAAGTAGTTTTGTGCCTTGCTGTAATAAGCATATTAAGTCCAAGGACTTTGAAAAGACTGCCTGGAGTAGATAGTGAATGATTATCTAATAACATGCACCCCAACCCCAACTTGTTCAGGAGGGCAAAGCTCAAAACATTGATTCAAAAACAGCTTTTAAAGTCTTAATCTTCTTTGGAACCAATGCAAAGACTGAATGAAAAAGAAAGTTATGTATTTCTCTTCACCACTAAATCAAGACCTTTTAGAATTTTTGCATTTCCCTCTGTGCTCCTGGTGGGGTGTGCAAGTATTTATTTCCTCTCAGTAAAATTGTGTGAGACAGCCTCTCTGAAATGAGAGTAGTTCCCCCCTTTTTTTTTATTGTACAGGTTGATTTTATTTCCTTATGAAACTGTTGTAAACCCACATTATTGTAAATAGAATACATCTGCTCCAGCAGGGAAGGGGATGGTTGGGCAGGGGGTGGGAGAAAATCTAAACATAAGTTACTTTGTTTTCATATATTGATGGGCAGCATAACCTTAAGTCAACCAATCGATGAAATACTTTTTAATAACTCTATACAATTATGTCAGGTAATTTCAAACTGTAAATAGTTGGAGTTTTTGGTTTAAAAGCAAATGAAAATATTCAAAGCAGTGAGAAATAGCTTTGTTACAAGTCTTTCTGGTTTAAACCAAGCAAAACAAAGCATTTCTTTCTTTGAACTAGATTGGACTCCAAAACAGCTGACAAGTAGATCTCTATGTTCCACAGAACAATAATGCTTAGTTTTATTTTGAGTAAAATCTTGATTTTAATCCAAGTGTCTTTTAAATGTTTTTTTGACTTTTTTAAAAATGTGATTTCCACACCCACTGTGTCACAATTTTAATTATTTCAGAACAGGATTACACCTTTTTCTTGTTTTCACATTGACCCCCCCCTTCCTCCCATTTATTTTGTGTTCTAGCAAAAAAAAAATTTTCTTAGCTCTCTAGACAGACATTTATGTTTTTACAAGAGAGTTTAAGCTTCTTGTATTTGTGTATGCTTTAAATACTTGGACATTTTAACAAAAGTTTTTTTCTTATTTGTTCTTTACAATTTTGTTGTCACAGAAGTCCTGCAAGAGAATGCTGTTTCATCTTTTTAAATGCATGTTTTATTTGAATAAAGATTATAAATGGTAACTCTTGTGTTTGTTGCATACTATCTTCAGAAATGTATTTTTTTTTACTCACTAACAAGGCTGGGTTTAAAAAGTGGAAGCCCTGTGTAGTATCCAGGTTTGAGGCCACTTTAAAGATTGTATTTTTGATTATCATATACTAAGTATATGTTAATCCTATAACACAATTCTAAAATCATATGAAATATATTTTGATCCTATAACTTAAAGCAGGGGTGGCCAGAGAAAGACTTCTAAAATCATATGAAGTAAATGTTGACCCTATAACTTAGAGCAGGGGGTGACGCATTGCACAATTAAAAGTGGCATATTTCACCAATAAAAAGCATGCCTGTTCTGAAAAATGATAACCAATTTTTAGACAAAAAATGTTTCACAGGAATTTAATTTACTAGCTATTAAGACACCCAAATGGACAGATATGTTTATAAAACTAATCAGACCAAAAATCAAAGAACACAGTTTAATGTACTTGTTGGCATTATTTTTTTTGTTTAAAAGGTGTTATGCTCTTTCTTTTCGTTAATTTTGGTTAAGCTTTTCTTTATTAGAAAAAATGGTGATAATTTCAACATTTTTAAAGACTTTATTGGCCGTAAGTCACTCTAAGGAAAAACAAGATAGTCAGACATATTTGAGGAACCAAAATCATGTCAAGGAAATCATCAATTAAATAAAGTTAAAGTAAATTAAGCTGTCAATGACTGGTAGAGTTACTGGAACTGTCGTTTAGCTTATGCCTGTCAGATACTAATGTGAGCAATCATTTTCATTCACTCAAAAACAGACTGAGGTAATGAAATTAACTCTAAATATTACAAATTTGAGGAAAGCAAATAGAAAAAAACGTCTGGAGCTAAGGCTAGGGCTCTCTCTATATATATCTAGATATATTTATTGCATGTATGTTTATTTTTTTTTAAATTAAAAACTGCAAACAATGTTTCATAAATTGCTAAGTAATATTTAAGTAAAGTTTTTTTTTTTGTTTTTTATTATCTCCTCTTCTATACACAAATGTGGTATTACTGACCTAATACATAAAAATTAATACACTTTGGATTGAAACGTATAAAATTGTATGTGGTGCATGGATCCAAAAGTTGGCCACCCCTTAGAGAAAGAATTCTGAAATCATATGATGTATATGTTGAACCTATAACTGAGAGAAAGAATTCTGATAAATTTCAAAAATTCATTAAAAGACAAGCTAATTTTAGCACATACAAGATCAATAGTGAAACCTAATAAGCAGTGGTGTCTTTATGTCTCTCTATATATGTGAAAGATGTGTTAATAGAACACCAAATGTACACTTGCTTTTTGCTAAAATTTTAATTTAACTTATAGTACTCAGGCCAAGTAAAAATATCTTACTTTAAAACTGGTTGCTGCAGCTACAACAGTTGGCAGGAAATAAGTACTGAAAAAAGCAAAATACTAGTTTGTGGTAGAGGTAGTACCAGATGTTGCATACATGGCAATGTTTAAACATTAGAAGTTGACTCATTTAAATACCTACAGTCAAACATAAAGAGATAAAACCTCTAAACTTGTCATCTGCTTTCATGAGCAAATGGTGGACAATCTGGAAGAGTAACACAAGCTTCCAAGTCAAATTAAAACTGTATTCTTCACTAGAGATCTCTATACTCTTACACAGTTAAACAAGTTGGACACTGAATGCTGAGACAGAAACAATTCAAGCCTTTGAGAGCAAATGCTACAGATAAATTCTGGGTAGCAGCTGAGTTAGTTGGTCATATTGTAAGAAATGACTCACTGTAAAAAGTTATCCTTCAAGGTAAAGTATAGAACATGAAAGCATTGTCCAAAGAAAAAGCTGGCTGGACAATGTAAAAGAATGGACTGGCCTCTCTCTTGATATCCTGCTAAGAACATATGATGATTAGGAAAAGTGGAGGGATTTGGTTCGGTGAACTGTCACGACATCCCTACGACAAAAGTACAGGGACATATGGTGATGATGACAGTACTCATTAAAAAAATAGTTCCTTACATTGGTCATTTTAGTTTTCAGCCTACTCTTGATGAGACGACTTTTCTTCAAAATATTATCCAGACAAAAAAAATATATCAACCATCTATGTGTCCACCAACAGTTATAGAAGCAATGGTATCTACATGATATTTCTGATTAGTAAATGATGAAAATTGCACAATTTTAGTGGCAAGATTTTTGGTCCAAGTCAAATACAGAAACTAACCAATGTTAATTTTAACCTAGCCATGTAATTCCAGTACGTAGCAGGAAGTATGCTTTTGGGTGCATATTACACTTAACAATATTTGTTTACGTCATACATCTTTCATTCAGCAAAAAAGCATTTAAATTTTTGATTTGGCCACCTGCTTTTATGTTTATGTGGTATATTTTCCAAAGGTCGCCATGTGGACCCTAGCTGTCAAATTATTTTTCATTACTTAAAGGTTTAAACAAGTCTATAAATTTTTCATACCTTTATTTCAACATTTTTAAAAATAATATATTTACAAACAAAATGCATAAGCAGCATTTAACAGAAAAAAATGAACTATTCATCACATCCATGACTTGAGTCGCAACATGGAATCACTGCAGAGAATCCTTGTCTTGGATATAGACTCTTTTGATGCATGCACATTTCCAATGATGATACATTTCATCAATAGTTTGAGAATTCTTTTAATAATCATCACACTTTTCAAGTTCAGTATGTAACAACACAACGTAACCTTAATGTTTCAACAAACTTAAGGTTCTCAATAGAAAAATAAGTTTTCTGAACAATGTCTCTCTTTTTAACATTGTTATTATAAACACTCAACCCGCAAAAAACATCTGTTTATAAACAAGAATATCCTCATGTCCCATTTTTATTGAGCTGATTTCTTTTTGGTTTTTGTTGACAAGTTGGACTCTATTAGATTCAATACTTTCAATGCAGCATCAGGAATGCGTGTGCCTACAAAAGAAAAGTCAACTATTATAATTCATAGCTGAATTTTGTTTGGGTTTAACTCATAAGCTACTAAGCCCATACCTAAGCAGCATCTCTCTAAATACTAAGCAAAGGGAGGTAACTCCAAAATAGAAATAGACTGACTTTACAAAATATATTTTAAAAAACATAAAACAACATCTATGAATAACAAAAAATACTTCTAAAAAAAGAGAAATCGAAGACCTTTAAAATGATGTATAATTTGAACAGGTTTTACAAGATTAAAACAATAAAAACAACAGGCAAAGACGAAAATGTGTTCGAGTGCCTGATTTTTTTGAAGACTGGTGGACCCCCCACCCCAATCAGATCTGTAATTTTTGGTAACCTCTAACATTTACCCAAAGACCAGTAATGTTTATAAGTAGAAATTTAGTAGGCCTAGACAATAAACATCATGCTTATCTATAAAATTTGTATATGTCTTGAGTATTTACGGACTTTCACTGGTGCACGTGAGGCCCTTAGTTGCCTGAACATGGCATCATGCCTGCCATCATGTTGATGTGGTTCTGCATGTGTCTCAAATTTCATTACTTCTAGCATAACAAAGTAAAAGTAATCAAACCAACATTTTGTACACCCCCAACTAGATCTATTTCATTAAAAGTTTCTATGTGGTAAATAAAAACTGTTCAAAATATCAGTCAAAGAAGTTGAAGATTCATTGACACTAGATCCAGAAGTGTCTAGATCTAGACTAGAAGATGGATCTAATGTTTACTTCACTCTCTCTCTCTCTCTCTCTCTGAATCGAACTAGATCTAAGTGTAAGTGTAGCGCTAAATTCTAATGATCAATGTCTTGATCAATATCAAGTTCAATATTAGCTGTATTTACTGTATTTTTTGCGATAATGGGTCTAAAAATTGAAAGGTCATTGAGAAAATGGCCTGCACAGCTAAGGAAAATCTAAAAAAAATCACTAAACTTTGAAGGCCCATACAAACTGAAGCGAAAGACGTAAAAACATCCGTTTTTTTTAACGAAACGATCTATATTTCTACTTTTTAAAAAACCCAGTTAGCTCAAAATAACACCACGCATCATGCAGGAAAACGAGAGCTATGCAAGTCCCGTGTGTGTGATGTGGTGGGCGCATTTGGGAGCATTAGTAGCGAGTGGGGGGATGGGCACATTTGGTCGCAATAGTAGCTATTGAGTTAAATACAAAATTTGATGTTCTTCCAATTTGCGTAATGAATATGATTAGAGCTGCTACTAGAAATGATTGTTCTAAAACAAACCTGGTCCAAATACTGCAGAGCATCCAGACTTGAAGAGGTCATCGTAGTCCTGGGGAGGAATAACACCTCCAGCAACTACAACAATGTCCCTGGTCAACAGAAGAGTTAGAACATTAGGCTTTTGGAGAAAAGTAGAGTTAGAACATTAGGCTTTTGGTCAACAGAAGAGTTCGAAAATTAGGCTTTTGGTGTACTTACAAGGAAAGGAAGTTTTTGTTCTTAACTGTTAGCAGTTCTATTGCTCAGCATTGTGATTGTATACAAAGTGAAAATAACACTAAACCTGTAAGAATGTACTAACATACATCAACAATAAGAAGACTTACGGCCTGCCCATTTGTTTCAGTTCTACAATAAGTTGTGGAATTAAAGTTTTGTGGCCAGCAGCAAGGGTACTAACTCCAACCACATGAACATCAGCATCAATAGCTTGCTGTGCAGCTTCTTTAGGAGTCTAAAGACACAAAAAACAAAAAGAATTTATGTTGGGAGCAAGTAAACAAAGAAAGTTTATGTTGGGAGCAAGTAAACAAAGAAAGTTTATGTTGGGAGCAAGTAAACAAAGAGAGTTTATGTTGGGAGCAAGTAAACAAAGAGAGTTTATGCTGGGAGCAAGTAAACAAAGAGAGTTTAGGTTGGGAGCAAGTAAACAAAGAGAGTTTAGGTTGGGAGCAAGTAAACAAAGAGAGTTTAGGTTGGGAGCAAGTAAACAAAGAGAGTTTAGGTTGGGAGCAAGTAAACAAAGAGAG